CTTGTGTTCCACTGATACAAGATCTAAGAAAGCTGTTTGAGAATACAGTAGAAGATCTTAAGGTATATAGAGATTCCAATCATACATCCAAACCGGAGACCAAACCCAACAAGTGACCATACCACGACGACCAGGACGACGAGACGAAGAGAGCGCCGTCGAGATCGCCGCCAGCCGCCGCACGCGCCGCCGGAAGGGAGCAGCTGCTGAGACTCACTCGCGCGCGTGAGAGCGCATGGAAGGTCCGTTTTCCGACCGGTCAACGCCGTTGACTTCGCCGTGACGTCAGCTTTCCGGATTGGTCAAGTTTGTTCGATTCCGAGAAGATTTGATTTGCGGTCAACTGTTCGGGCCAGCCAGATCTACGTAAATTTTAAGCAGTAAGTTTTCTTCATCAAACCTTTAGATCCGCTGCGCATAGGTTTATGTTGAATGTTTGTCCGTGATTTGTGCATATCGAGATCCTCATATGTCCCAACAATCATCTCTTTCATGATATATCTGTTTTGTATCTGTACATCTCAAAATATTCTTTTATTTTAAAACTATGCTTATGTTTATGTACATGCATTTTTTTGTCGGCTTATAATTCATTTGTCAGCACAAATTCACGGAAAAAAGATAATTTGATAGAAATTTAAAGATCACCAACAATTTCAAAGACATTTATTGTCACTTGCAAAGAGATAATTCTTATATTTCTATTAAAAAAATTTGTTTTTCACATTTTTATGTTTGAATATGTGTACTTTATATTTACTGAATAATTTTATATATACATATAAATGATAGTTTGAACAAAAAAGCGATATAGCTCAATATTTATATTTCAGATTATCCTCCAAGAAACACGGGGTTCGATTCCTCGCATCTTCAAAGACAATTTTTTTAACCATTTATTTATTTGTGTTTTTTTTTTAATTTTAATTAGAAGGGAGTCAATTAGGAAGAACAATATCATATTTTATTGAACATATTCTTCCAAGTAATCCATGATACCATAAATATTTATATAACATACTAATTAGTTTGATATATACATATTATAAGGTGATATGATTAGTAAAAAGCTCACGTTAAATTAAAAAAAAAAATAATATTATAACCTCTTTCAAGGTAAATGTGTTTCGAATAAGTACATGCAAAATCTTTTTTTTTTTTATTATTATTATAAAACTATGTTTACTTTTATGTATATAGAATTTTTTATCGGCTAATAATTCATTTGTCAGTACAAATTCAATAAAAATTATAATTGATAAAGATTTAAAGTTCACCGATAATTTTAAATCCCTCTCTCAGTCTCTTGTCTTCTTTGTTTTTCTTTTTTTCTCTTTTAAGCTTGAGGTTTTTGGTAGTTTTTATGGAGTTCTTACGAGTGTTGCTATGAGAATGTTTTTGTGGGGGCGATTGGAATTTTATCTTTTGGTTCTAACCGACTTTTATTTTTTTGACCTATGTGACATCACGCTTTAAGGGATTGATACTATACTAAAGTGGGTTTTATTTTATTTTTCCTTTATTCATTTTTTTTGTTCTTTGTATAGAAGATTATTATAAATTCACACACGCTCGTATTGTTTTTTTTTTTTTTTTTTTT